TACAGGCCTGATTTTTTTCAGGTCTGATTTTCGCTATTGCATAAATAGCGCTATCTACTGTGAGGATCGCACATCATACGTATTCTATATAATTATAAAGTATGTCTTCCATTGGAATAACCACCGTCTGATGACTGCGAAAGAATGAAACTTGTACGAGTCAGGGAAACTTTGTTTGCATGTTTGTTAATTTTACTATTTCCATTTATGCTCTACTCTATATATTGAGCACTATACAGCCAGCTAAAGCATCTCCTCCAGATAAATTTACCGTTAAACATTTTTACAAGGGTGGCACTCTCTCAAAAAGAATCTTTGAGCTGATAATGCAAAACAATAAAGAATATCTCAATGAAAGTGCATTAATTGTTTCTAAATCCTTAGTCCATTTTTCATTCAAAGTATATATCTGACATTGAATATTACTTACAAAGTTCTTGCAGGCCTCTTGATCTCGATCCATACGTCTTTCACCATCCTTATAATGATCTCTATCGACAAATCCATTAAAGTTTTTTTGAAATACGTCTTGCCAATGAAAGGAACAATAAAATGTTTGTTTCCATTCAAAAAAGCGCTCCTGAACTGCCAAGAAGCGGCAAACAAGGTCCCTGCATGGTGAAATGATTCAACGTTCAAATTCAAAATGGCGCCTTGTAACAGCAAACGTTACATGAACGGAAACACTGCTGACCACTGATTTGATGCAGATCTTTATGTTTGCCGACGCGACAGAGCTGAATAATGAAATGCTATGTCAGCGGGTATGTGGTCAACAATGCGGGCTCAAGTGTCCTAGGTCTAAAATTTATGGAAAATTAGTGGAAAATAATAAGGGCTGACCTTTAAAACTGAGAAACTCTGTTTTCGTTGAAGGCACTTTCCTATTTCCAAAGGTTTAAAGAAGAAAATTAATTTTTGAAAATTTTTAGGGGGTGTACCAAAGTTTTGGAGGTTGTTATGTAAAAGAAAAGCAGCAAGGAAAATGACACCTCGAAGCAACAGAACATAGGAAATCAACCATGTAAACGACTCAAAATTCGTGTTTCCGCGGCAAAACCTTATGCATGCATATACATTATTCAGCTCTGTCTGCCAACACAAAATTGGCGGTTGGTTGTGCATTTATTGTTATCTTCCCCAATACTCTGTAATTTTGTTTCA